CCACACTGGCCATCATGAGACCTCTGGCTTTCCACCTGCTTGTTTCACCTTTACAGTGGTTTTTGAAAAGATGAAATGTGTATAAGTTTTATAGAGCTGCTTTCTCCCCAATGAACACACAGAATCCAGAATTAATTAGAATGAGCCATCGATAAACATCTTCATTTTAAACTGAATGTGGCTAAAAAGCACTTGAACTCATAGTTTACTGTTTAAACTTATATAGTGACAAATAAGATTCACAAGTAGCTATTCAGAGCTTTCTCATACTTTTCTCCAGCCGCCCTTGCCTTTCCCCCAGGTAATAAGGTCTACAAGCACAATGGTAATTTGATATGAATTGTGAGCCCTATTTTGATCTTTTACCAAGGACTGGAAATAAACTTGAACAGACATTTGGACTTTTATGGACTCTTTATTAGGCTATTAAGATATTGGAAATAACACATACTAATCATAAAAGAGCAATATTAAAATTTCTCAAAGCAAAAAAACAAAATCAATGATTATTCACAACGAGTAATGCCTACCTGAGTTAATAGTTCTTCTTCCAATACAACAACCCTGAACTCTGTCATATTGAAGCAACTGTTTCATATATATATATGAATTTTATATATTTTTCTCCTCAGGTTATAATCTTGGGGACAAAAATAGGACAAGACAGAAAGCAAACTCTCACTTTGCTGTCACCCCAGCTATCTCATATAGAGCCCAGCACCCTGTATAGACATTTCTGGAAAGGGTGTGTCTGGTGGCTTACCACTGCTCTGAAAGGATACCTGACATACACAACTTATGGGAAGAAGGACTTATAGTGGCCCATGTTTTCCGAGGTTTCAGTCCATGGTCCCTTGGACTGAAACCCAAGGTCCCGTGGCCCCATTGCTGGGCGTCTCTGGTGAGGTCACCCATTGTGGCAGGGCGGGCTGGGTGGAAAAAGCTGCTCAATTCAAGGAGGATAGAAGCACACTGAAAATGAGAGAGCCTTGCTGGTGGGCTGGTTGCTTTAGGCTCCATCCAGGTCCCCAGTGGACTGAATCTTCTGCCCACCTGCGAGATAGTTCTCCTCCCTCCACTTCCTGTCCCACATGCCAATTACCTCTGGAAACACCCTCATGGACCAGCAGAACTGTGCTTTACTAATCTCTAGGTGTTTCTCAGTGCAATCAAGTTGACCATCAATCATTCCGCAGGGTCCACCACAGTGTGAAATTCTGGACAAGTAACTGCCTTGATTTTCTCTACATTAAATGGGAAATCTGGGCTACTGTCATCACTAGGTTTCCTTCCAAAGCTAAGATTTGAGATTCTCCACCTGTCTCAGTGAATCAGGCAAAAGTTCAGAAAACAGCAACCTCGGGGAGGTTATGTGCCTTGTCCAACTTCTTTTGCATCTCCTGGACAGTGATAGAAGATTGAGATTCAAGAAATGTCTGCTCTGCGGGAATTGGCTCAGAAAGCCTTTTCTGGCAGTGTTAAATAATTTATTATTTGCAGTTAAATTTGTTCTTGCAAATTTGCAAAGGCCTAAACAATTGAGAGTAGTTAAAAGACAGGAGTTAAATACAAGGTAATTATTTGATAGGACCTTGGTAAAATTGTTTTTGTAAATTTTCTATGATGTGTGGAAAATATCCTGTATGAATTGAGTATATTGTTGCATATGTGTCTGTCTAATTGTGCTGCTGCTTCTGTGGCCCTGAAATTGAGGAAGATGATGGAAAAGCCCCATTAATGGCCCACACATCTCAGAGCTCGATTTAAACCCCCTTTCCTCGTCAATGGCTTGCCGGGTCTCGCTTGGCAGCCTTCTCCAGCCAGCCTGCTCCTGTCCCACAGGGACACTGGTAACTTGAAAAGTCAAGTTCACCTGGAAGACTCAATTACAGTTTGTATTCATTTCCTGTTGCTGCTGTAACGAATTATTTAGTAGCTTAAGACAACACCAATAAATTATCTCCTAACACAGGAGGTCAGAACAAAATGGTCTTACTGGGCCAAAGTCCAGGTGTCAGAAAGTTTGTATCCTTTCTTGAGGCTCGAGGTGAAATCATTTCCTTCTATTTCCAGTTTCCAGAGGCTTTGCACAGTCCTTGGCTCATGGCCCCTACATCTTCATAGTCGGCATGTAGCATCTCCACATCTCTCTCCAACTCTAACCATTTGTTATATAAAGTAACATCTCTTTCTGTCTCTGTCTCTGCCTCTGCCTCTCTCTCTCACACACACACACATGCTCTCTCTCTCTCTCTCTCTCTCTCTCTCT